ATTATAATGGCCAACTATAGGGCCAATATTGTGAAGGGAGGGTGGGAAATAAAGCCAGAATGGGGGTGATAGATTAGGTAAACAGATAGGAGAGATGAAGTTGGAGAACAGGAAATCACATTCAGGAGGAGTGAGGTTGCCACAACCACCACCTTTCTAGTCCCTCAGGTTGCAAAGTAATCCTTGACTCATCACTTTCCCTCACCTCATATCCAATCAGGTCCCAAGTTGTCTTGATTCTTCTTTTTTTTTTTAACTTAAAAGTTTATTTTTAACATTCATTAAAAAAATTTTTTTTTGAGTTCCAGATTTTCTCCCTCACTTCCACTCCTTCCCACCCATGGAGAAGGCAAGCTATATGATATCAATTATACATGTGAAGTAATGCAAAACATATTTTCGTATTAGCCATGTTATAAACAACAAGAAGAAGAAATATAAAAATAGGGGGAAAATGTATGCTTTAATCTATAATCAGAGTTCATCAGTTCTCTCTCTGGAGGTGGATAGCATTTTTCATCATGAGTTCCTTTGGAATTGTCTTGGATCGTTGTCTTGATCAGAATAACTGTCTTTTACAGTTAACCATTGTTACAATATTGCTATTACTATGCACAGTGTTCTCCTAGGTCTGCTCACACTATTTTGCATCAGTTCATATAAGTCTTCCTAGGTTTTTTTTTTTTTTAAAGCATCCTGCTTGTTGTTTCTTACAATAGTATTCAATTATAATAATATTACATTAATAGTAGTACTACAATAGTATTCTATCACAATCATATACCACAACTTGTTCAGCCATTCCCTAATTGGAAAGAACCTGAGTCTTGAATGACTCAACTGCATATGAAGATGCTGGTGTGACAATGACTTGACCAAAGAACTTTAATATTTTTGTCATCAGCCATTTATCTGCAAAAGACTCAAAGGGAAATATAACTGGGCTGAGCACTACAAGTAAAAATAAAGTCCCTCACTTAGGGAAGCCACCTCTGACTCTGGGAAGATTTTCAAATAATTTAGGATGGATGAACTCCTATTTTTTACCTGGAGTATTCTGCCAATCTTAGGCTAAGAGTCATTGCTTTTGCTGAGAACAGCATTATGCTTTTCAAGGAGCCAATCCAGTTGAGAACAGAGCAATCCATCAATCATTAATGCCCTCCAGAAAAAGAAAGGGCATCGAGGATCTGTAGTTTAGGAATTGTGCATTGCCTTAGCTGTACCAGCCGCGCCGACCTCATGTCGGCCGCGCGCCGTACCCTCTCCTCCTATAAGGAGCAGGCTACCAGAGTCATACTCACTTCTGAGTCTTTGGTCCTCAGCCGGATAAACACACAGAGACGAGCCATCGGGAGGCGCCAACACCAGAGCTTTATTCAGAGGACATCACAGCAAGCCATCATAGCAAGCCCAAGCAGCAAGGCCAGAGCAACAGAGCAGGAGCCAAGAGAGAGAGCGCGTGATCTGACCACGCTCGTTCCTAAATACCTACCTAGCCCCTCCTCCCCAGCCCGCTTACTAGCCAATGATTTTATGGTCAGATACCGGAAGGGGCTGTCTGAGTTTAGCACACCAAGGGAGAGGGAGTGACGTAGGAGGCTAGGACCGGATATAGGAAGGAGGCATCTGGGATTAGTGCATAGACAGAGTACGTGACCTAGGAAGTCAGACTCAGATACTGGGAGGAGGGGTCTGGGGTCAGTGCTACACAAAGGGACCCAGGAAGTCAGGAAGGTCACAAGATGGAGGCGTCTGGAGTTGACGTTGCATATAGGGAGGGGACCAAGCAAAGGGAACTCAGTCCTCTGCCGTCCCACTCCCACTTGGCACCGCCCCTTGCCTCAGGAGCACAAGCTCCGGCTACTTCCTTGCACCCAGCTTATCTCACATAGCACTGCCCACTGCCTCAGGGCTTCTCTGTACCCAGCCCATCCCAGTTCACCACGACTCTGCCTACCACAGCCCCTGCCTCGACTTCCAAAATACCCAGATTCTACCCTACTCTTGCCACAGTGCCCAACTGGCAACTGCCAACATCAGACAGTCCCTCACACTTAGCCATATATGTTCCCAGATGTGTGGCTCTACTATTGTATTTTAAAATCATGCCCACTCTTCCCCCAAGGATTCTGTGTATATTTGTGGGTGAATATACCCCTACATTTTTTGGGAAATACTTTGTGACCACTGTTCTTGATATACCATGTGAATGAATGACTTTGCAAAGAACTGAGTCTACTGGCTAATTTTTTAAAGGCAAGAACATTGGTGGGGGCTTATAAGGATGATCTCCTCTCAATAGAGTTTCCTCTAGAACTCTGAAAGTAGTAGCATTAACTGTTCATGCTTGTGTGGGTTGGAGAAGTGAGTTCAGAGGAGGGTGCTATACATGGAAAAATATAAATTCAGTTTAATATTTAAAGCCCATCATAATCTGGATCCAACCCATCTTCAGAGAGTCATTTCACATTATTCCCCTCTACCTACTTTATGTTATAGCCCAACTATACTACTCTGTATTGTATCTGTTCATTCTATACTTTTGTATTCTATACCTCCTTTCCTCCCCTTCCCCCCACCCCCACCATCCCTGGAGGGTAAACTCACTTATGCTTTTTAGAATTTTTACTTTCCTTCAAAGCTCACTTCCTCCAAAAGCCTTTTTCTGATCTTCTAGTTTTTAGTACTATCTTCCTCCTCAAACCATCTTGCATTTCTGTTTCTGTTTACATATTGTATCCCCTAGTGAAATACAAGCTCCTGGAGGGCGGGGGCTTTTTTTTCATTTTAGTCTTTGTATCCTAAGCAACCTAAACTGGAGCCCTAAGGAAGATCCTACTTGAAATGCAGATCAACTACTTTGTAAATTATAGTTGCCTGGGTCCTTGAGAGATTAAACAACTTGTCCAAGATAAGGCAGCCAGTATGTGTCATAGGCAGGACTTGTTAACTGGATTTTTACTGAGCCAGTCTCTAACCTGAGAGCACTCAGAGGTGCACAAAGCAGGCCTAGAGAAGGTAATCAAGTAGTTTAATCAGTATTGGTTTCATTTTGAGGAATGTTCTCTTAGCTGAAGTAAAAGCACAGGTTATATACTTAAATCACAACTGGGGAAGGAGGGGGGGAAGGTGTATTACAAACAATCATTTAGTGGTTTCCCATGAGAAACCTATAGGTCCCACAATACAATTGTGGACTCAAGTCTTTGGGGGTTGCGACCACCGCCCCTAAAGTACAGAACAGAGTTCTGTGATGGGAAAAGGTTCTTCAATCTTTGATTTGCTTCACTTAAGGTCCAGTGATTGTGAGCCTTGTCAGAGTTTTGATTTATTGAGTTCTGACTCCCAAGCCAGAGGCAGCTCTTGAGAAAACTAAATTATTGGTATATTCATTATACATATCATGTTGATTAATATGAAAATTATAAATTCCTTTCTCAGACTTAAACTCAAATGTTACTGACTCTTAGACCAGCTCACTATTCACTATAGATAAGAAATTGCTGAGTTTTGATTCTTGAAAGTAGAGCAGTCATGTTGAAATGTGTAGTTAGAGAAAGGATATTTAAGTATGAAGCCTAAGATACAAGCAGCCTATGGATGGCTGAGGTAGAGAAGAGATGGAGAACTTGGGAGCTGAGGATGAGGAACTGGCCTGCAAATGAAGGGCCATCACTGAGAAGACTAAAGTCATAAAGGACAACTGCAAGGTTAGCAGCAGAGAGGAGAGACCGGAATTCAGGTGCTGAAGTTACTGAGGAAGGTAGATGAGAATCTTGAAGTTTAATAAGTGGTGGCTTTAGGGTACATTTCAAAAGATAATTGGTTAACTGATAGAGGGTCAAATAGTAGCAGGGAAGAAAGAATTTTGCCGGCTTGTCCTCCTGGACTTGTGGTATATATGGTATATGTGTATATAAATGTATATATTTATGTGTGTATATATATGTTATATCATATATACATTATATGTGTGTATGTAGGTATATGTGTATGTGTGTGTGTGTATATATATATATATACACACATATACATATACATATATATGTATATGTGTGTATGCAAGTAAGGAAGCACCCAGCCCTGTACCAGTAAAAGGAAAGGAGAAAAGCAGTGACTAGTAGTTAGAGGAGGGTGGTGAGCTATTTTCTGGGGAAAAAAAAACACCTATTTTCTGTTTGCATTCAGAGATGGTAGAGGAGAGCTTGAGCAAGCAGGGGAACGAATTTGTTTACAACAGAAACAGAGCTCCAGAGAGCAGTTTGAAGAGGAGGCTAGGATCAATAAGGCTGAATTACAGGAGAGAGGCAGTGGAAGAGAGGGAACTTCTTTAGGTCTGGGATAGCAACTAAAGATTATTTGATTGGCAGTTAAATTATGGGAATTAGCTAGCCTTAGGACAAACGTGTACATTAATTAGGACAGTATCTTTTGCTCCTCCAGGGTTTCCGAACGCTGAATGTTTGAGTGTAGAATACTAACCAGATAAATTCTTGTCGAATGCTTTGAATAAAGTTTGACTCAATAGGCTTTAAAAGGGCTCCCACTCCCCCCATTAGAGAACTCCTTGTCGAATTGTGGTCTTGCACTTATTAAGCACCTACCACGTGCCAAGCACAGTGCTGAACAAAAACTCTAAACTCCCTGACATCAAGGACCTTGGGGGGGGATACCCAAATTGCACTTAAATGACCTGTTTCCCAAACTATTTCCCACCTCTGTGCTCTCTATAGGATCCCTATATTATTTGTGTCCTAAACAAATTTGTATCCTGTTGAACTCGGGGAACAAAAGAGGCTGGGGCAACAATCGACGGGGTTGCCCTTGGAGTACTGCCGACAGTCCCGAATGGCTGGGGAAGCGAGTAAGAAGAAGGTCGCTAACTCTGTCTCCCTTATACTGCATAGAGTTAACAGTAGGGCGGGCCGGAGCCCAGCGGTTCGAAGTGGGGCGGAGTCTGGGCAGAAAACGAAACCGAACTTTAGTTTCACCAATTCGTCCCGAGAGCCGGCTGCTGTGAGCCTGGAGCGGGGTTGTCAGTGAGTTCGGGGATATCTCTGCATGGCCCGGGGTCTAGGGGGAGGTTCTGGGCTCGAGGGGTTCGTTGTCCAAATGAGATAGAGCTTGTGGGACAGTGGTCGGAGGTTCTGTGGAGCACCCGTGTGTGCATGCTTGCGTGTGAGAGTGTATGTGTACGGTGGGGGAGAGTCTGACAATAGCAGCCAGGTGCAGATTCCCTTTGGACCAGATGGCCCTGAGGCCCTGGCGGCCCTGAAAAAGGAAGCCCTTGGTGACTCTGGGCTCCCTGAGCAGACCGCGGGCAAAAGTGCTGGCATGCTGGGAGATGACGCAGTGAGAGGAGCGCGAGATAATCGCGGTCCTGACATTTGGTGACTGATAATTGACTTTGGATAAGTCACTTTGCTGCTCTGGGTCTCAGTGTTCCCATCTTTAAAATGGAATTTGGACTAGCCAATGTAGAGTCCCCTTTAGCTCTAATCTCTGATCTTCTAGTCAGTGACTCACAGATGCTCAGCCATTTCTGGAAAGCATGAGGATTGAGAAAGGAAATGAAATTTAGGGATAAAGTGAAGAGAAAAGCTATAGAGCTCTTAAAGGTCCATTGATGGTGAAGGGTAGTGAAGAGGGAGCAGAGATTAATTAACATATAGGACAATCCAAAAACCTCACTTTTGTGTGTTTAATGGAGACAGAAGAATGAACATTTGAAGAGGCTCAAACCAGGGTTGTCAGAAAGAAGAGAAATAGAGAAGCTAAAGCAGTTCATAAACTGGATTATCAATTACCTATAATCAGGAATTTAAGGTTAAAGAGTGGAGAGACTGATAACTAGGGGTCCAATTGCTCATACTTTGTTCACTGCTGGCAAGAATCTACCTTATAAATTCTTGTCAGATGCTTTGAATAAAGTGTGAATGAACAGATTTTCAGTGGGCTTCTCTCCAGTTTTTTTGTGTTTTAGAGAGCTTGGGATCACCCTTTATCCATCTTCAGGTTTTTGATTCAATTTAACTTTAAGCATTTATTAAGCACCTACTGTGTGCCAAGTGCTGTATTAGGCTTTACATATACAAAGACAAAAAATGAAACTTCAGAATGAAGATCTTTGAAAGTTTATCCTTCTCATTGTCACAAACTATGTTATCTTAGACAAATTATAATATCTCTCAGAATCTCCTATTTCCCATTTTTAAACTGGTTAGATTATTTTTCCTATAAAATATTTGGCCTGGTTGGATTTTACTTAGAACATATTTGACCCCAGCTTCTTTACTGTGAAGTTCCTTGTACTATTAAAATCATGGTTCCTGACAAAAGTATAAAGAAAAATATCTGATTTCTTCATTCGTTAATACCAGTTTTAGGCAAATGACAAATAATTAATCATCACTTGTTGATTGATTCCTGTGTGACAGACATTGTGCTAGGCACTTGGTATACAAAGAAAAGCAAAAATAGTCCTTGCCCACAGGGAGCTTACATTCTGGCAATAAACCATCAAGTAAATAAATAGGTACATTCAAGACATATCCAAAAAAAAATGGAAGTTAACTTTAGAGGGGAAAGTTCTAGCATCCCAGAGTAGATTAATATTGAAATGTGTTTCCTGGAAAGTTCAGGAAGGTTCATTGATTGAGTTATATACATACAGAAGATAGTTGGAAGATTTCTGAACTTATATGTACGTTTGCAAGCATTTGATCTTCATCCTTGCAAATGTCACTGTATTAATTTGTTTAGAAGTATCAGAGAGGCAGCTAGGTGGTGCAGTGGATAAAAAAAGTCCTGGGCCCAGAGTCAGGAATACCTGAGTTTAAATCTGACCTTAGAAACCTACTAGCTATTTGACCCTGGGCAAATCACTTAACTTCTGTCTACCTCAGTTTCCTCATCTGTAAAATGGAGTTAATAATAGTGCTCACCTCCCAGGCTTGTTGTGAAGGTAAAATGAGAGAATATTCGTGAAGTGCTTTACAAACCTTAAAATGCCATGTAGGATGAAAGCTATTGCTGTTATTAGAAATATATTTTTACCAGACTCCAAGATTTCTTATTCAAATGGAGTTGAATTAAAAAAAACAAACAGCACTTCCCCAAAACAAAACAACCTAATTGCTCAGTTAAGGATGCCCTCCTGGCCCTTCTTTTTCTCTCTCAGCCTCTGAATCCCACAAAGATAGATGTTTTCATTTCAATCACCTTTCAGCAGGATCTACTTTCCTGAAAAAGGATGGCTCTTCTGTACTGGATGGAGAGCTTCTGTGCACCTTTCTACTTTTCATACCACCTGAGTGTTCTACACATCAGTAAATGTTATTTATGGACATTGTGGTAAATGTTATTTCCAATAATAAGATGTAATGAAAAGATGATTAAACTTGGAGCCTGAAGACTTGAATTCCAGTCCCTACCCTGTTATTTATTAGCTGTGCAATTTGGGGCAAGGTACTCTGCCTCTATGAGTATGTTTCCTGATCTATTAAATGGGAACTTGGATTAATCATAGGACCATAGATCCAGAACTGGAAAGGCCACCAAGTCCTCTGATTTTTACAGATGAAGAAACTGAGATAGAGAATTTAAGTGATTGCCCAAAGTCAATCAATCAATTGGTATTTGTTAGTGATTAGATACTATGTCAGCAGAATCAAATGAGATATTGTGTCAGATGCTCTGTAGCTATAAAATTTGATGTAAATATGAGATATTATTATTGACCTGTAAGGTCCAAGGTCTGGGTGAATGAATGCTAAATTAACCAACACCTTTTAAAATTTCTTCCTCACAACAACTCTAGGAAGTAGGTGGGGCATAAGTGACATCATTCTCAGGAACTAAGGAACCAGCTGAAGCTGAGAGAGGTAAGGAGTCTTGCCTGAGGTTGAAGAGCTTCTGACTATGCTATGCCAAGTGTAGCAGCTGGTGTAATGAAGGAATCCTAGTATGCCAGCCCCTCTTAAGGGAAGCTCTTCAGAAAAAGGTTTGATCTCTTGTTTGTACAAGACATTAGTAGATTGCTGTGTTTTCTGAAATCCAAAATAGCTAATATGGATTGGAACTGCTCTAGTTTCATATTGTTTTCTGAGAGGATTATTATGATAAATAATAATGTATAATTAATAACAATAATACACAAAGTCAGAGAGGTGTAGTAATCAGGGAGCTAACCTCAGAGTTAGGAAAGCCTGAGTTTAAGACCTGGCTTTGTGATCTTGGTGTTGTAAGTGAAATTTAACAAAAAGATAAACCAAGGCATGTTTCTCCAAGTAGGATAAGTACCTATTAATGAAGGGGTCAATGACTACCTCAGTTTCCAGCCAAAGACCAAGAATTAGAGATGCAACTCCTTTTTCATAAGCATAGAACAAATAACAGCACAGAGTAGGTAAGAAGATCATACTATTGGTTAAAACATTGACAGCATCAAGGTGTGATGGATGGTGATTGGCTACATTAACAAAATTGAACATATACAGCACATGGAATCATTCTTAGTGGGTTGTACAGTAGCATCCTGTGGTCATTGATAGGGAACCAGAGATGTAAACTCACTGGCACCCGGGAATTAGATAAGACCACCTTTATAATTGGCAAGGATGAGGCTAAAGATGGCAAAGGCTAAAGATCCCCTCCCCTCATCCTAAGATGGCAGGCAATTTGATATAGGCTCTACATATACATTCATACTGAACCTATTTTCACATTAGTCATGTTGTAAAGAAAGATTAGAACCAATGAGACAAACCATGAGAAAGAAGAAACAAACAAACAAAAAAGAAAAGAAAAAGAGAGAGAGAGAACAAATAATATGCTTTAATCTGCATTCAGACTCCATGTGGACAGTATTTTCTGGATATGGACAATATTTTCCATCATGAGTTCTTTGAAGATGTCTTAGATCCTTGTATTTCTGAGAAGGGTTAAGTCTATCAATATTAGTCATCGCACAATGTGGTTGTTACTGAGTACAACATTCTCCTGGTTCTGCTCACTTTACTAAGCATGAGTTCATACAAGTTTTCCCAGGTTTTTCTGAAGTCTGCCTGCTCATCATTTCTTATAGCACAATAGTATTCTATTACATTCATACACCACAAATTGTTTAGCCCATCCCTTCAATTTCCAATTCTTTGCCACCGCAAAAAGAGCTGCTATAAATATTTTCATACATATGGGTCCTTTTCCCATTTGTTTGATCTCTTTGGGATACAGCCCTAGAAGTGGTATTGCTGGGTCAAAGGGTATGCACATTTTTATAGCCCTTTGGGCATAGCATGAACTTAATTTAAAAAAATTGGACAGCTATGCTTCAATATAATTGGTTTCCATAGTAATCCTATGCAATATTTTATGCATTTAAAAATGTTACTATCATAAGAGGTCCATAGGCTTCACCCAGACTGCCAGAGGGGCCCATGACACAGAAAAGGGTTGAGAACCCCTGCCCTAAGACTGTAAATTGAACAATAGCCAATGGTTTGCATTGGTAGAGGGAGTTTCTTCACTGGGATGCACTCTACACAGATTAAGTCACAGTTCCAAACTTAAAAAAAACAAGAAAACAAATCTATATTGACCCACTTCTGTAACTAGGAGCACAGAAGTGTTCTTGGAATCAGGAGAACTGGGTCTGAATCCTGGCTTTGACATTAGCTCTATGACCAACAGTAAGTCACAACCACTCTGGGGAGTAGTTCCTCATCTATGAAGCTAGGGAGGGAGGATGAAACTAAATGATCTCTAAGGTTCATTTCAATTCAAAGTAACAGTTTTACGTGCATTTTGCCCTAGCTTTCCTACATTCAGCAGACTTTTCATTGTGAAATTTATCATTACAGAAGCTGAATTAAGAGATAAAAAGAAGTATATACTTATATGGGTTATCTTAATGAGTTTCAAAAATTTGAGAGACTTAAGGAAATAAAGCTTTTCCAACCTGTGAATTAAAAGTTGAACTTTCATAAATCCATGGTAGAAGTTTGAAGCAGTGTAGTAAAAGTGACAGACTTGGAATCACCAACACCTGGGTTCAGATCTATCTTCTGACACTTCCTAGTTATGTGACCCCAGGTAAGTCATTTAACATCTTTGACACTGCATCTTCCTCTATAGAATGAGGGAGCTGGACTACATTTGAGATTTGAGATCTCTTCCAGTTCTGCAGCTATTATCTTAGGGAGTTTTCTGGAGAACTGGGAGAATTTATCTCTGAAGAATGATGGAGTTTTCCCTTTGTTTCCCCTCCTGGCTTCAGAAGCAGATTGAGAAAATCAGGCTGAATGTTTGTTCTCTGTGGATATTATCTCTTTCAGATTTCATTTTTATTTTAAGTACACCAAGAAGGATGGCTAACAATATTCAACCACGCATGTACTCTGCAGAACTCTATCAGTATTGCTTGAAGAAAAATTTGCAGGTTAGCTATAAAGAAATGTCAGTGACTGGACCGCCTCATAACTCTGAGTAAGTTACTTTAAAAAAATCATCTCAATATGAAATTGAAAAGATTATTATTTTTATTAATAAAATTTCTGAAATATTTGTATTTACATTTTTAAAAGGATAATGTTTTTAGATCATAGGCTCTGTCCTAGTCCTCCTTTTTTCTCTCTATACCCTAACTCTTGGTGATCTCATCACCTCCAGTGGATATTAATTCTATGCAGAATACTCCCACAGCTACATATCAAGCACTTATCTCTCTCCATTCCACTCTAGAATTTCTAGCTACCTGTTGGATATGTCCATCTGGATTTTCTAGAGTCAGTCAATAAGCAAGTATTTATTTAGCCCTATGTGCTAGGGTTCTCACACTCAACATGTCCAAAACTGGTCTTATTATATTTTCTTCAAAACATACCCCTCTTCCCAATTTCCCTATTTCTGACACAGGCACCACCATCTTTCCATTCACCTGAATCATGACCTTGGAATCATCCTCAACTCTTCTTTCTTCTTCTCCCTTCCTCCAAGATATCTAATCATTTTCCGAGCTGTGTCAATTCTCTATCCGCATCTCTCATATCCTCCTCTTTCTCTCTTTTGAAGGGCCACCATGCTTGTTCAAGCCCTTATGCCACAACACCTGAGCTACTGCAATAGCCATATAATTGGTCTCCCTGTCTATACTCTCTTTCCTCTTCATTTCTGCTTTATATAGCTATCAAATTGATATCCCTAAGGAGCTGATCATGTCACTGAACTGTTTAAGAAGCTTCAGTTCTTCCCTATTGTTAGTAGCTAATGACAATGAGAGGTAGAATGGGGTAGTGAATAAATAGCTGTCCTTGGAGTCAAGAGGACCTGGGTTCAAATTCTGTCTCTCATATATACTGGCTGCATGATCCTGGGCAAGTAACTTAGTATCTCTATGATCTAGACATGTTTCTAAGGAAATAAGTTGTAAGGAGTTTCATACTCCAGTGAAATCAAAGGTCTAGATTAAAAAATAATAATAATAGAGAATAGATGAAATTTCGGAGGACTAAAAAAAGGAAAATATTACCTTAATTTTCAAAAAAGGGAAAAGAATGGAGTCTTTCCCACTATAAGCCAATGAGTTGGATTCTAATTCCTGGTAGAATTCTAGAAAGTATTAATGGAATTGTTTGTGAATATTTAGAAAAGAAAGCAGTGATTGCTAAGAACGAGCATGGCTTCATCAAGAATAAGTCACGTTAGACTAATGTTGTTTCTGTTTTTGACAGTTATTTATCTGGTAGGTCAGGGGAAAGTTGTAGACAGTAGAAACCCTCTTTTGTAACAGCTATGTGTAGTTAAGCGAAACAAATCAACACATTGGATAAATTTGAACGTTCATGTCTCATTCTGCACTTCTATTCCATCACCTCTCTACTGGAAGCATATATCATTACCAGTCTTTTGAAGTCATGCCTGATCACTGCCTTGATCAGAATTTTGAAGTCTTGCATAGTTGTTTTCCTTTGCATTATTGTGAGCATCATATAAATTGTTCTAGTTCTGCTCAATTCATTGCATATCACTTCATACAGTCTTTCTGTGTTTTTGAAGTTGTCCTATTTGTCATCTCTTACGGTACATGCCATCATGCAGCAAAAATTCTACCTCATTATAGCCAGACTCTGGGGTTAACTGGATGGGAAACATTTGTGTTCAAAAGGAAGTAACACATGAGGAAACTGAGTCAAGAGGATCCTATCTTAGGCCATGCCAATGTCATCCCTTTGCCCTTTCTCAGAGATAGCTATCCATCTGTAGAAATTCAGAATCAATCCCTTGTGGCATTTCCCTTGAATGGTAGACTACTAACTTGAGACAATCATACCTGAAATCAAAACTCAGAATAATATAAGATTACAGTCCCATGAGATTTTACCTCATAGAGCAAGTTTCACCAACTATGCTTAGGCTGGATATAGTTATTAACAAATTACTTTCTTGTTGCAATAAAACTATTTAGCAAACAAAAATTTATCAGGCCTAAAAATCACACAAAAGATTTTATTTAACACTCATTCCTTCTATTATTTTCCTTTCTCAATTATAGCTTAAAACTTGTCTTGGTATAAAAGACAGTTATTAGAATTTAACAAAGTAAGTATATCATGCAAATTCATATAGATAATGAATATATGATAGTTTACTAAAAAAGAAGCTTTCAGAATACATTGGCCAATTGTTATAAGTCTCAAGACTAGCAGATATACACCTCCTAAGCTATATTAACTCTTAAAACAAAATAAAATATTGAAGACTAAGGTCTGTACAAACAATTCCAAGTATAATTTCATGGTTATCATAACCACAAATTATCACACAAAATATTTCTATACTATAAACACACTTTAAAAATTTTTCCCCATATTTTCCCCCTTATTCAAAGAGTATTTGTAATGGTGGAGGAAGATCTTGTTTCCTAAATAAATCAATACACAAATTCTTTCACAGGACTAATCAGGTTTTTCTGACCTTGCTCAAGAAAATTGGCAGGCCTACATATAAGATATTTTTATAAGGTCTTTCTCCCACTCCTCTCCTCCTTTTTTCCCCAAAAAGTACACAATTATTATTCCACTCCTTTACAATATGCCCAATTAAATGCTTCATGGATTTTATCTAATAGCAATAACCTCAAATAACTTAATCAATTTCATAGTATCCAAATCAAAAGGAGGTAAATTTTTCCAATGATATCATTTTTACTATTCTTTTAACTGCATTTCTTGTACAATGGTTTCCCAGAATTTACGACATAAGAAGATTTAGAAACTTGATAATATTCACAATTTCATGACTTGAAAACATGAAACAAAATTCAGTACAAGTCAGATGTCAATTTAGTCAAATGTACTTCCAAATTGCCTTTATATAGAAGAACCTTACCACAAGTAGCATCATTATCTTTTTGGAAATGTTGTTAACTCTGATCCTCCCTATGCCTAATCCCCAAGAGATAAACTCTTACTCAAATGTAACTTTAAAAATACATACTAATACCAAATTTGAATTTATTTATTTTTTAATATCTATTCCTTGAGATTACCTGCACTTCCTCAGATAGTTCAGAGAGTTAAAAGCTGACTGTGTATTAATTTAGACTCTGATTTTTCTATAAGTATTCTTAAGCCACTTCAAGTCTATATGTAATGTCTCCTCAGCTGGATTGTGAGTCCCCTGAGGTCAGAAACCATCATTTCTATTTCTTTTATATTCTCAACAGTTTAAAGTTTGTTGCTGTGCCCATAATGGATATTTGGTAAATGTCAGATGACAAGCTGAGTATTGCAGAGTATAGTCTGGGCCAAAAGCAAAACAAAATAAAAACAAAACAAAACAAAAAAACCAAGAGTTAATTTCTAGACAAAAAATAGCCATGCCAGCATTTCTTGCTCTTTAATTTGTACAAGGGGGTCTTTTTTGTGTCATGGATTCCTTTGGCAATCTGGTGGAGCCTTTGGACCTCCTTAGGAAAAAAAAGTTTTTAAATCCATAAAATAAAATACAGAGGACTGCAAAGGAAATCAATTATATTGAAATACATTTATCAAAATATTTTTTAAAAATAAATTCATTGATCCAAGGTTAAGAACTCCTGATCTTTACCCTGAGCAAGGTTACCCAGCTTACCTGGGGTAAGGAGGAGCCAGAAGTTGGGCAAAAGTTCTGGTAACTTCCACAGGATCATGGAGAGAAGTATGTTTCATAGCCATCATAGATATAGAGAGTATATTGTTGCCCTCATTGGAAAGAATAGGCACATTGTGTTAAAATGTACTGATTTCATTCTTTTGGTGACTTGAAAAAGGTAGAGTATAATAAAGTTGTGTAGCTCTTTATGATTTGGAGTATTTTCCTCATAGCAAGTGGACTATATAAACATTATTATCCTCATTTTAAAGAAACCAAGTCTCAGAAGTTACAAATGATTTTAAAAAAATGTTTTTAGCTCTGTAATGAATTTAGTGAGTGAGGCAGGTGGTGCAGTGAATAGAGATCAGGCCTGCAGTCAGGAAGATCAGAAATCAAATCTAGCTTCAGATGCTTCCTAGCTGTGTGACCTTGGGCAAGTCATTTCAACTCTTATTTGCCTCAGTTCCCTCAGTTGTAAAATGGGGATAATTAATAGCACTTAACTCACAGGGTTGTTGTAAAGATCAACTGAAAAAGTATTTACAAAGCACTTAGCACAATGCTTGGAACATAGTAGGCACTTAGTAATTCCTTCTTTCCTTCCTTCCTTCCTTCCTTCTTTCCTTTTTCTCTTCCTTTCTTTTTCTCTTCCTTCCGAGAGAAATTGTTATTACACTATTATATTTATAACTAATTATTAAATTGCAATCCAGTCTTCCACCTATTTTCTCTTAAGGCCGAGTTTCTCTAAAAGTTCAGTCATCTCTGAAGGACATGGTTAGTTGATGAGATTACTCCTAGTCCTCAAAGAACATGCTCCTCCATCTTGGGCCGGACCCCACTCAACTAGGAGACCTAATTTGTGTTTAGAGTATAAACTAAATCCAGGGTGAGCCCTTTCCCTGAGGGAAGAAACCTCTGTCCTTGTTTCCCTCCAGTAGAGTTTAGGGTGACCCAACTTATGAAGGAGAAAACCAGCCAGAGAGGTCCAGATGGAGATGGATTCCTCTTGCCCAGGTTGCTGGAAGCTACTGAGTCTCATGATAAAGCCACATTCTTAGTAGGAGGAGCTGAAGATTTTTCTCCTTAGCAGGAGGAACTTGAAGACTTTTAGCCCACCTCCTCATTAAATGTCCACCAATCAAGGTTTATTTTCACTTGTCAGGGGAATTCCCTTTCAGAAGATATGTAAGGCATTTCAGGGTTTCCCTTGGGCATCTTTGGTTACCAAGAGAAACCATTGACTCTCAATTTACTGATTTCTGGCTAGCCTAATTAATAAATTGACTATTAATTATTTAGAAACTCTATTTCTTTGGGTTAATCATTAATTTCCTTTTCTTCCTTCTTTTCTTCCTTCCTTTTTTCCTTCTTTCCTTCCTTTCTTCCATCCTCAGAGAACTGGGATTAAAACTTAGGTCTCCAGACTCCAAGTCTGGTATTCTTTTTGTTGTTTTAATACATTTTATTAATGATTTTTGTCACAGTCATTATGGCATAGTAGACAGAGTGCTGGACTTGGCGTTAGGAAGAACTCTTGACTTACTAGCTGTGTGATTTTGGGCAAGTTACTTAATCTCTCCAAACCTCAGTTTTCATCTGTAAAATGAAGGAGTTGGATTAGATAATCTCTAGGATCCCTTCCAGCTTTAAATCTGTGATCCTATAATCTTATGTTTTTCCATTACCTCTCCAGATTGAACCCTCCTGCATGACAGAGAAAAATAACTAAGAAGTATCATCTTATGCAAAAGGTTTATACTTGATAATATATACTGTATTCTGTCTTAGTAATACCACACCTCTCTGCTGTGAGGAGGGTGGAAGGTTTTATCTCTTTTCCAGGACTTCATTTAGTTTTTCCATCATTCAGTGTTCAGTTTGCTTTTGGTGATAATTTATATTGCTGTAGTCATTGTGGATGTTGTTGTCTTGGTTCTGCTTATATCTTTCTGCATCAGTTCATGCAAATTTCCCCACATTTCTCTGACAAATCCAGTGTTGTTTTTACTATGTCACTGTACATTCCCAGTAGAGAATATGGGAGGTAGAGGATGAATTGAAAATGATACAAAGATGATGTCCTTAAAAAGAGGTTTTAATTGTGTGAAATCATGTGAATCTTTTTCTTACCCTCAGGTTTACCACCAACGTTATAATAGGAGACAGAGAATTTCCAGAAGGTAAAGGAAGAGCAAAGAAAGACGCAAAAAATGATGCTGCCAGGCTAGCTCTTGACATACTAGAAAACGAGGTGAGACATTTCAACTTTTTTCTTTATAAGAAATAAACATTGTTTTCTCTCAAATCTATTTTACAATTTGCCAGTGAGGAAAAATATCTGTGTAGAAGACACCTTCATACCTTCTTGTGGGTTTACAAACCTGTGCCTCTAAAGCAGGCCTGCATAACCTGTGGCCCACCAAAGGATTTTGGGTGGCCCTCAAAAAATGTGCAGGCCTGCACTAAGCATCCTAGGAAAGTATTTGACCAGGTGGAAATAATAGGAATGTAGTTAGAGCTAGCATCCATGTAAAGGATTTAAATCTTAACTTTAGTGGGAAGGAGACTAAGTAAATCAGAATCTAATAGGAATTAATGATACAGTCTCCCCTATTGGCAGTTTCAACAGCTATTTCCTTTATCAGATGTTCTTAACTTTTTTTGTGTTGTGAAACTTTCTCAGGATAATGTTTTTTAAATAATTTAAGGCTAAATTTCACTTAGAAAATAGTGAAAAAGAAGTTGTAATTTATTTTTCCATCAAGTTCACAGACTCCCTGAAATCTATCCGTAAATGTACCCAAGGTGAAGAACCTCTTCTTTGATATTATAGCAATAGATCTCAAAGACTACATACTATGACCAAGTGAAATTTATACCAGGAATGCAGGGTTGGTTCAATATTAGGAAAACTATCAGCATAACTGGCCATATCAATAACAATAACAACATAAATCAGATGATTATATCAATAGATGCAGAAAAAGCCTTTGACAAAATCCAGTACTCATTCCTATTAAAAACACTAAAAATCATAAGAATCAATGGAACCTTTCTTAAAATGATAAGTAGTATCTATCTAAAATGAAGAGCAAGCATTATCTAAAATGAGAATAAACTTGAAGCCTTCCCAGGAAGATTAAGGGGTGAAGCAAGAATGTCCATTATCACTATATTCAATATCTTACTAGAAATGCTAGCTATAGCAAAAAGACAAGAAAAAGAAACTGAAGGAATAAAAATAGGCAATGAGGAAACAAAACTATCACTCTTTCCAGATGATATGATGGTATACTTAGAGAAGTCTAGAGAATTAATTAAAAACCTAGTTGAAACAATCAACAACTTCACCAAAGTTGCAGGATATAAAATAAACCTCCATAAATCACCAGCATTACTATCTACTACCAACAATACCCAGCAGCAAGAGATAGAAAGAGAAATTCCACTTAAGATAATTGCAGACAATATAAAATACTTGGAAGCTTACCTGCCAAGAGAAATGCAGGGATTATATGAATGCAATTACAAAACATGTTTTATACAAATACAGATCTAAGCAATTGGAGAAATATTAATTGCTCATGGGTAGGCTAAGCCAATATAATAAAAATGATAATTCTACCTAAGTTACTTATTCAATTTCATACCGATAGAACTACCAAAAATTATTTTATAGAGCTAGGAAAAATAGTAACCAAATTCATCTGGGAAGAACAAAAGGTCAAGAATATCAAGAGAATCAATGAAAAGAAAATTTAGGAAGGTAACCTAGCATTTCCAGATTTCAAACTGTATTACTAAGTGGTAATCATCAAAACAATCTGGTACTGGCTAAGAAATAGAGTGGTGGATCAGTGGAATAAATTAGGTACACGATACACACAATAAATGATCATAGTAATCTAGTGTTTGATAAACCCAAAGATCTAAGCTTTGGGAGTGAGAACTCAAAACTTGACAAAATTTACTGGGAAAACTAGAGAACAGTTTGGCAGAAACTAGGTTAGACCATCATCTCACATTGTATACCCACATAAGATCAAAATGGATAAATGATTTAGACATAAGGAGTGTTATTATAAATAAATTTGGGGAATGTGGGAAATTGTACCTATCAGGTCTACGGATAAAGAAAGATTTTATCCCCAAACAAAAGATAGGGAGGATTACAGGAAGTAAAATATATCATTTTGGTTACATGAAATTAAAAACCTTTTGCACAAACAAAACCAATATAGTCAAAATTAGAAGGAAAATAGGAAACTGGAGGAAAAATTTTGTGGCAAGTTTCTCTGATAAAGGACTTGTTTCTCAAATATGTAGGGAACAAGCCAAATTTATAAAAATAAGAGTCATTCTCCAGTTGATAAATAGTCAAAGGATAGTTTGAGCAGGAAGTTTTCAGAAGAAGAAACCATCATAGTCACATGAAAAAATACTCTAAATTACTACTGATTAGAGAAATGCAAATTAAAATGACTCTAAGGTACTACCTCACACCTGTCAGGTTGGTTAACATGACAGAAAAAAGAAAATGACAAATATTGGAGGAGATATGGGAAATGTGGGATATTAATGCCCTGTTAGTGGAGTTGTGAACTAGTCAAACTGTTCTGGAGAACAATTTGGAACTATGCCCAAAGGGCTATAAAACTTTGCATATCCTTTGACCTAGCAATACTACTACTAAGTCTGTATCCCAAAAAAGATCAAGGAAAAGGGAAAAGGACTGATATATACAAAAATATTTATGGTGGCTCTTTTTGTGGTGTCAAAGAATCCCTCTCATCATTTCTTATACCACAATAGTATATGATTGTGATGGAATACTATTGTGGTAGTATCAAGACAATGATACAAAATGATTCCAAAAGACCTTTGATGAAAAAATGCTATCCACCTCCAGAGACAGAATTGATAAACTTTGAATGCAGATTGAAGCATACTTTTTTAAAACTGTTTTTATTGTTTTATTCTGTTTGTGTTTTCTTTTCCAACATGGCTAATGTGGAAATGTATTTTGCATAACCACACATCTATAATCAAAATCAAATTGCTTTCGTTCTCATAGAAGGGGGAGGGGAAGAAAGGAGGCAGAGAATTTGGAACTCAAAATTTTTAAAAATAGTTGCTAAAATTGTTTTATGTGTAATTGGATAATATTTAATGAAATATAAAATTTTATTTTAAATATTTTATTTTTCCAATTGCATGTAAAAATAATTTTTTAACATTCTTTTTAAAAATTTTGAGTTCCAAATCTTTCCTTCTCTTTCCCCTCATTGAGATGGCAAGCAATTTGCTAGAGGTTATACATGTACAGTATGCAAAATATATTTCCTTATTAGTCATTAATCATTAGTTGGGAAAGAAAACACAAACCTTCCCCCCCCCCAAAAAAAAGAAAACAAGAAAAATGAAATAAAAAAAGAGTATGCTTAGGTCTACATTCAGACTCCATCAATTCTTTCTGTGGAGGTGGATAGCATTTTTTATCATAAGTCTTTCAGAATTGGTCTTGGATCATTGTATTGCCAAGAATAGCTAAATCATTTACAGTTGATCATTATGTAATATTGCTGATACTGTGTACAATGTTCTACTGGTTCTGTTCACTTCACTTTGCATCAATTCATCTAAGTCTTTCCAGGTTTTTCTGAAAGCATCCTTTTAATTATTTCTCATGGCACATTAGTACTCCATCTCAATCATACAACACAACTTGTTCAACCATTCCCCTCATTTTCCTATTCTTTGCCACCACAAAAATTGCTGGTATAAATATTTTTGTACAGGTTGGTCCTTCTCCCATTTTTATGATCTTTTGGGGATACAGACCTAGAAGTGATATTGTTGGGTCAAAGAGAATGTACAGTTTTGTAGTCCTTTGAGCATAGTTCCAAATTTCTCTCCAGAATGATTGAATCAGTTCACAACTCCACCAATAGTGCTTTAATGTCCTAGTTTTGCCACATGTTCTCCAACATTTGTCATTTTCCTTTTCTGTCATATTCACCAATTAAATTCTGCTGAATTGTTTCTAAGTGGTTTCTACAAACCAGGAGAAAAGAAAAAGAAAGAAAAAGTAATTTCCTTCCTTTTGTTGGTGTTCACTCATGTTCAACTCTTTGTGACCCCATTTGGATTTTTTTTTTGTTTTTTTAATTTTTGGCAAAGGTACTGAAGTGGTTTGCCATTTCCTTCTTCAGATCATCTGCAGATGAGGAAACTGAGGTAAACAGGGTTAAGTGACTTGCCCAGGATCACACAACCAGTAAGGGTCAGAGGCTGGATTGGAATTCAGGTCCTCCTGACTCCAGGCGCAGCACTCTATGCACTCTGCCACCTAGCTGCTCCTTTCCGTTCTCTCTCTTTAACTGTGCCTTCTCCAACCTGTCCTGGGTTGTGGAGGCAGAAAGAAAGAATCTCACAGTTTTTCTTCTTATCTCCCACCGAGAGTCTGATCAAAGATTGATGAGAGTAAATAGATCTGTTTTGAGATTTTATTAGTCTCCTCCCACTCTTCTGAGTTCTTTTTCTGTTCTATTTCACAGCAGTTTTTTTTGGTTTTGTTTTGTTTTGGCAATTGGAGTTAAGTGACTTGTCCAGGGTCTCACAGCTAGTAAGTGTCAAGTGTTTGGTCTGAGGCCGGATTTGGACTCAGGTCCTCCTGATTTCAGGGCCAGTGCACTATCTACTGCACCACCTAGCTGCCCCCTATAGCAGCTTTTATGGGTTAGGAGGTACTACTACAGCCTTAAAGGTGAAGATACCCCTAATTCCCAACCACTTCCATCTCTGCTATCATGGTGAATATTTATTCCCATTAACCACAATTGGCAATGTGGAGGGGGGTTGGTTGTCCCTCTTCAGGGGCCCCTCCTTGGTTTTCAAAACCTCCCTTTCCCTTCCTTAATCCTTTCTCCTCAGTCTCTTCCCTGGAAGGTATTCTGGTCTTAGTTATATTGATAATGAGGTCAGTTTCAGCTTCAAAGCCCCTCTCAACTGCACTAAAATTTCATTTTTGTCTAGGCTACTGATCTTTAAGTTTTGTTTAATATGCTCATCCAACTGGCTCTAATCCCCCAAGGTCTTTCCTTTATCTGGCTGAACTTTCTTTCTTTCTTTCTTTTTCTTTCTTTCTTTCTTTCTTTCTTTCTTTCTTTCTTTCTTTCT